ACTGGCATGACTTTCCGGAAATGCTTTTAACGGAAAAGTTTTCCGTTAAAAGCATTTTCGGAACAGAGCGTCTAGATTGGCACGGACGCTTTTCCGCAAAAGCACTTTTTGCAGAAAAGCGTCCATGGCCAATCTAGACGCGCTTCTTCGCAAAAAGGCCCCGATCACCATTTTTGCAATTGGGGCTTTTTTGCGGAGAACAAATCTGAGCTGTCTACCCTGGCCCCTTTTGCGCAAAAGGGACTTTTGCCCGAACGGGAGCAGCATAGTATTTCCGCAAGAAGCACTGATTTCTTACAGTAGGAAGTCAGTGCTTTTGCAGAAATTCAAGCGGCCAGTGTAGACAGCTGGCAAGTTTTTCCAGAAAAGCGGCTGATTTTCTGGAAAAATTGGCCAGTCTAGACACAGCTCTAGGGCGCAGGACACAAGGAATTCCCATGCCATCCAAGCGGCAGGGAGCCGGGTGCTATAAGGCCATGAGGAGAGGGTGCCTTGGCTGCCTGCCTGTTTAATTTAGTTGTGAAGGAGGAGGTGGTAATAAAGTAGTGTCTAGAGTAGTGTTTCTTAAACTTTTTAAGATTGAGGAACACCAAACAATAATAATTTTTTATGAGGAACACCAAGGATTTTTTGTTGAGCAAAAAAAAAAAAAAAAAAGTTAGGGGAAAAAGGGCGAGGGGGAAAGATATTGAGGAAAAAAAGCGGTCTGGGGAAAGTTATTGAAAAAAAAAAAAAGGTCTCCTGCCCCTTTAAGGGCAGCCCTTTTTAATTCCGTTGTTCTCCGTACCACACCTCCGACTGCCTTGCGGCTCACCGGTGTGCTACGGGATACAGTTTAAGAAACACTGGTCTACAGGCCTCACTCCAGCTCAGGGTCCCAGCGAGTCTCTCATTGCAGAAGCTTAAATAGCCCTGTGGGAGAAAGGCAGTACGAGCACCCCCATTTTACACACAGGGAGCTGAGTACAGAGAGAAGAAAGGCCAGTTTCACCGAGGGCTGTAGGGCCTACCCCCTTTTTTAGGTCCCTAAGTTCAACATTCAGGTGCTCCTGCCTTTCTTAAATCTGCCGCACAGCTGCCGCTTAACCCACTAGGTACTTACGTTGTTAGAGAAGAAACAGGAGACCCAGGAGCGGATAGGATAAACAAACTGCTCTATTGAGGACGCATGCTTACTTCGGACCTCCAATGTAACGTAACAATTTGGCTCCAGTTACACCCTTTTATCAATTTTAGTGCGTTAATTCACACGTCTCTCACTACTTCCCCTAAAACCTTATTTAGTACGTTAACTTCCATATCATGAATGTTAGCAGGCAGGTGATGAATATTATTATACCCTCCCCTAATTACTATATAAAGAATTTCTAATTAAATCAACACTGGTCCACACTACAGACTTTCCGAATCAGCAGGTTACAGGGATTACAAGAACAGTGACCCTGAAAATATTTTTTACAGAGCAAGAGAGAATACGTAAGGATACGTCTACACTGCACGGCTATTTTGGGATACTGGAAGTAACCTGAAATAGCTGCCCCACATCTACACAAGCCACCTGTTATTTCAAAATATTTCTCGAAATAACGGGCGTGCTCTTTTGCCAAACCGGTAAACCTCATTGCATGAGGGATAAGGGATGGCTCGAAATAGCACGTTATTTTGCAATTTGGTTCTGTGTAGACGTGCCAAATTTCAAAATAAGCGATTTCAAAATTGTTTCAAAATAAGATACGCAATTTGCATAGCGCGAATTGCCTATCTTATTTTGAGTTTAGGGTGCTGTGTAGACACATCCTAAGAGACATAACCAAGAAGAGCAGCTTCATGCTTATCTATCTTTCTAGGTTGCAAGAATAGAGGGGAAAAGCATGTTTATACATTAGAAAGGATAATACTTGTTTTGGCTGGGTTCTAATCTATCTTTCCAGATTGCATACACAAGGGGGAAAAAAACATACTCAAAGGCAAGGCCTGTTCTGGCTGGACCCCTTCTTCACTGATGTATAGTCATGTCAGGCCCCTATTAATTCTTACATACCCCAACATACTTTTCCTAGGCACCTACATTTCTGCTGGTTCAGGCTGAACCTCTCTAGTTCAGATCTTTCTGGTCCGGACACATCTGGGCTCTGTCTAGACTGGCAAGTTTTTCCGCAAAATCATCTGCTTTTGCAGAAAAACTTGCCAGCTGTCTACACTAGCCGCTTGAATTTCCGCAAAAGCACTGATCTCATGTAAGATAGCCAGTACTTTTGCGGAAATACTATGCTGCTCTCCTTTGGGCAAAAGTCTTTTTCCGAAAAACTTTTGCGCAAAAGGGCCAGTGTAGACAGCATAGTACTGTTTTCCGCAAAAAAGCCCCGATTGCGAAAATGGCGATCGGGGCTTTTTTGCGGAAAAGCGCGTCTAGATTGGCCACGGACGCTTTTCTGCAAAAAGTGCTTTGCGGAAAAGCATCTGTGCCAATCTAGATGCTCTGTTCCGAAAATGCTTTTAACAGAAAGCAGACTGTGAAGAACTTCAAAAAGATCTCACCAAACTGAGTGATTGGGCAACAAAATGGCAAATGAAATTTAATGTGGATAAGTGTAAAGTAATGCACAGTGGAAAAATAACCCCAACTATACATACAATATGATGAGGGCTAATTTTCATTCTGACTGGAATAGAAAGAACTTTCAATTTGAAATTTCCCACAGAATGAAAATTGCTGGCATGTTTTTAGTTAGCCGGATGTCCGCTCAGCATGGGTGTGGCCAAGTTTCCCATGGCCCCATAACGTTTTTTTACAGCCACCAGTCCTGGCTCTCAGTGTTCTGTGCTGTTATTTAGCTCTGATGTACTCCTCAAGGTCTTCCAAGAGCCCAGTAAGCAGTGGAAGTGTTGGTAATGCTGCTAGACAACAGTGAGCTCCCATGGTCCAGAACATTCTCTGGATCCGGATTAGAGAGGTTCAACCTGTAGATGGCTTTGCTAATGCCTAGATCCTGGTACCACGCCACAACTAATGAGCTACTTCAAGCCCCACCACAAGCCAGAGCTCCAGGAGCCCTGAAACAGGATTCTCAAACTACACGTCCCTGCACCTGGCCTCCCAGTAGGGCCTGACCCCTTAGTGCATGTCTATGCCTTGGAGTCTGCGCAAAAGACAGCCAGGTGTGTGTCCCAGAATACCCAGGAGACTAGAGGGTAGGGCACTCAGCTGGGACCTAGAAGACATCCCAGGAGAGACCTCCTACCACTCGGCTACTGGCGTAGACACTTCACATCAGGAGAGGGTTCCCGGCTGAGCCTCCCAAGCAGAGGGGAACGTGTGTTTATGTGCTCCATTTCCTTCCTATTAGAAACTCCATGGCGTCGCCCCGCCATAATCCTTACGCCTCTCTGCCTGCTCTTGCTGATTCTGGTGATTGTAATGGCTCAGCGGGGTGAGTGTTTTACAGACTCAGACGAACACTGGCCCTGAATTACTCCCTTCTTTTGATGTGTCGGTGATTTCCACGCCATGCATCTGACAGAGTGGTTTTATGGTGCCACAGGGCTCCTCATTGCAGATACAGACTAGTACGCTTGCCCCTCTGAAACTCAGAAAAGTCTGTCTCTAGCAGCTGCTGTTCAGCATCCTCCTGGGATACCACTGGAATGGAAGGAGGATCACCATCACAATCTGAAATGAGGACATCATCTTCCTCTCTTTTCCCCAACGGAAATATTTATTGACCTCTTCTGCCTTTTCAGCATGATTGATAATTCTATCACTTCAATCTGATAATAGACCAATCCCAGGGTGTGTCTAGACTACAGAGTTTTGTCGACAAAAGTGGACTTTTGTCGACAAAACTATACCTGCGCCTACACTACCGCTGAGTTCTGTCGACATAACGTCGACAGAACTCAGCAGTTTTGTCGACGCTGGTAAACCTCATTTTACGAGGCATAACGCCTTCTGTCGACAGAAGGTGTTATTGCATGTAAACTGTCCTTTGCGTCTACACTACCATGTCGACAAAGCAGCTTGCTTTGTCGACAGAACTACCTTGGGAAGTCCTCAGGTCCAGCCATCTGAGCTGAGGCAGGACTAAATCAACCTGAATCATCTGTGACAGGTGTTTGTTCAACCTTGTTAGAGAAGAAACAGGTGGCCCAGGAGCAGATGGGGTAAATGAAGTGCTTTATTACCCATGCACTTTTACCTCTGACATCCAACACAATGTTCTGACTGGCAAGAATTTGGTACCGGTTACACCCTTTTATTCATTTTATGCTAATTCACATATCTATCACTACTTTCCCTGAAACCTTATTTTGTATGTTATCTGCCATAAAATGAATATTAGCAGGCAGGTGATTAATATTATTATACTTGCCCTAGTTATGGTTTACAGAATTCCTAATTAAATCACTTTTCTACACTACACACTCTCTGGATCAGCAGGTTACAGAGATTACAAGAAAAGTAACTCTGCAAATATTTTTACAGGGCAAGTGATAGTAAGTAAGAGATACAACAAAGAAGAGCAGTTGCTGCTTATTTATCTTTATAAGCAGCAATAACAAAGAGAAAGAGCATATTTATACATCAGAAAGGATAATACCTGCTTTGGCCGGACTCTTTCTCAATTTTCCAAACTGCAAGAATGAAGGGGAAAAACATGCTCAAAGGGCAGTACCTGGTCTGCCTGGACCCCTTTACCCCTAATGTATAGCTATCCCAGACCCCTATTCATTCTTACATATTCCAGCAAAAACAACGGTGCCGGTTCTCCTCTTGCGCGTCCTTGAGTAAATACGGAATGACTCCTGTGATCTCATGGGAATTCGACTAGTGTTAAACTAGCTGACGCAAGAGGAGACTCAAGCTCTGCATTCCCGCTGTCAGTCAGTAGGTGGCACTGTAAAGAGCGCTGGGGTGACAGGTGCTGTAGCAACCGGCTAGCTCTGGGCACCACCGTCTTTTCCGTTCTCGTCTCTTTAAAGTTTACCATCTGACCAAGAAATCAGAGGAGCAGCTGGAGATCCTTGAAATAGAAAACATCGTCCTCTCGGAGACACTGCAGCAGCTGACAACTGGCAAAGGTAAGGAACCACAGCTACAGCCTGGGAGGAAGAGACTCTGAGTAATTGTGTAGCTGAAGTCAAAGTAGCTTCACTTGGCTTTCTCCACAGCAGGAAGTCGAAGGGAGAACACCAATGAGTGTACAATGTTTGGTGTGCATACTTCAGTGCTCAGACAACAAGGGGGATTTCCCAAAGAGGGGAATGGAGTTGGGGAGAAAGTATCTGTTTTTCTGTCCTTCCAGATCTGCTTTTCCTTCTGCTGGTTGCTTCAGCGAGGAGGTATAGATGACAGAGGGCACTGCACTTTCCAGTGTCTCCTGCAGCAGAATGGGAGATACTACAATATCTGGGTTTAATGCAGGTTGCATTTCCCTAAACCGGGACCCTCTGGTCCAACAACATCCGTGGTCCAGCAGGACCATGGATGTGGAGGTCTGGTAGTGCCACTGGGGGCCCGCCAGCACCACCGCCGGGAGACTGGTGGCATGGCTGGAGCCCCACAGGGCCAGCAGTGGCTGGAGAGCATCCCACCCCCCCTTCACCTCCCGCAGTGGCGTTCAGCTGACTTCTGCGCCGTTCAGCCGGGCCGCCGCGTGGGAGCGAGTGGCGCAAGCGGCCGTTTGGGTTCCGTGGTCCCCCGAGTGAGAGGCAGGTGAGAGGCAGGAGGGGGAGAAGAGAAAGAAAGAGACGGAGAGAGAGGCAGAAGGCGGAGGAGAGCTGAGAGAGAGAGAGGGAGGCAGTAGGAAGAGAAGAGAGAGAGAGAGATGGAGCGAGAGACTGGAGGCTTAGGAGAGAAGACAAACGTGGAGGAGAGACCTGAAAAGCCCGTCTTATGATGGGCTAATTGGCTAGTTTTGAAATAGCAGGCTGATTATTTCGAACCCTGTGCTCTTACTTTCCGTGGGGCCTCAGCTATTCTCTCCTTCACCTCTGTTCTGACCCGTCTCTTGATTCCTCCCTCCCTAGATCCTTCTCTAGCTTTCCTTCCATCCTTATATCCTTGTCTGTTTCCTCTGCTCCCGATCTGTTTCTGATCGGACTCTCTTCCTTTTGTTGTGACCATCACATCCATAGACCATCAGGGGCTAGAAATTCTTGTCTCCATCTTCCTGTTACACCTGTTCATGGAAGATGGGGTTATGACTGTACCTCAATCCAGGACCTGCGCTCTCCGCTGAGACGAGGTACCCATTTGCTGTGTACCCCATTTGTTGCTGAAGAAAGGGGCTGACGGTCAAAGGCAGTAGGTCCAGCGGAACTATTCAGTGTGAGAAGAGGCAGGCCAGGATGGGTCAGGGGTTTAGAATTCTAAGCGAGGGGAATTTCCCATCATCCTTCACACCCCGCAGTGCGGAGCTGCAGTACCACAATGCTCGTGGAGGGTGAGGACTGAAAGCCTGTCTTGTTTCCCTTTTCTTCAAGAGGACAACTGCAGCATGTGTGAGGTGGGCTGGGACCAGTGGGGCAACAGATGTTACTTCTTTGCCACGAGCGTCAAAACCTGGCACAGGGGCTTAAAAGCTTGTACCTCGATGTCGGCCAGCCTGGTGAAGATCGAAACGAAGAAGGAGCTGGTACAGAACCCCCTCCCCCGGTTCTCCTCTCTGTTGATATTGGTTGCTGATAAGACTTGTATATAAACACCGAGGCTGCGTCTAGACGGGCATGATTTTGCGGAAATACTTTTAACGGAAACGTTTTTCCGTTAAAAGTATTTCTGCAAAAGCGCGTCTAGATTGGCACGGATGCTTTTGCGCAAAAAGTGCTTTTGTGCAAAAGCATCCATGGCCAGTCTAGACGCGATTTTGCGCAAGAAACTACGTCACACACTGGCCCTCTTGTGCAAGTATTCTTGTGCAAGAGGGCTTTTTCCCGAGTGGGAGCGGGAAAGTATTTGCGAAAGAAGCACTGATTTTGTACATTACAAAGTCAGTGCTCTTGCGCAAATTCAAGCGGCCAGTGTAGACAGCTAGCAAGTTTTTGCGCAAAAGCAACTGCTTTTGCGCAAAATCTTGCCAGTCTAGATGCACCCTGAGTATCTATGACACGCTGGGGAGGAGAGACCAATTGGCAGGGAGATATGGATTGGAACATGAGGCCTTTCACCTCTAGAGCACCAGGTCCAGCCCAGACCCAGGTCGGGAGCAACCCCCTCCATTGAGTTCCCAGTGGTGTTAACTGGGAACTTTTTAGAGACCAGTTAACTTCCTTGCTATCGTCCTTTTTGGAGCCCAAGGAAGGCCTGGCTTATCGGAGCAAACACCCTCAGCTTGTCCTCAGAGGCTGGTCTCTGCTTCTGTCATCGCAGGTCCTTTCAGGAGCACAAAGGGCATTTAAAGAAGGTTTCCCCCTCATTAGTTAGCGCCAGGACTGGGGAGTCCCATTGCAAATGACTGAGCTTTGGGAGCTAGCAAGCAGGGGCGGCGGGTAATGCAGGCAAAGGAAGGCACAGCCTTCCCAACACTGCCTACGCACCCCAGCTACCAGGAAACCTGGAACCCGGCTCCCCGACCACCAGAGAGAGATGGGGCTAGGACCTCAGCACGACAGCCCTGGCCAGGAAGTATTGGGCTAGGTGGGTGGGGCTTGGCTCCAGGGGCGGGGCCTCGGGTGGAAGGGGTTGGGCTAGGGCTTGCCTTCCTCAGCGGAGCACACCCGCCGCCCCTCCTGGCAAGCAAGGAGCAGGGTGAAATAGCAATTTATGGAGCTCACTACTGAGGAGTTCCTGGAACCCGGGACACCGAAGCAAATCAGTTAGGGTATGTCTACACTACCCCGCTAGTTCGAACTAGCGGGGTAATGTAGGCATACCGCACTTGCTAATGAAGCCCGGGATTTGAATTT